TAGCCGCAGGAATATCGCAAAGGAAGTAGACACAGCTGGGATGCTCTGAAACATAGCGGTGCTTGGAGCCGGCGAGAATTGCTGTGCAACGTATTGCTGTCCCATAAACGCCGACTGAGTGTTGGCCCCCATGTAGAGGGGTGATCCATACTGTGAGTTCACAGACATGGGCGTCGGGGCCGATGACCGCAGCATTCGAGGGGGCTGCGGAAGAACGCTGTTGGGGGTTGCCATGGAGGTTTGTGATGGTATCGGCGTCGGAAGTTGAGACGGCATAGACCTCCCAGCTGACGCGAACGACACGCGCGAGTCCCGAGTCACCTCTGGAATTGGCTCAAATGTGCTGCTGTCCATGCCATCCCCCAATCCATCATCATTCATCGGTGGAGGTGCAGCTGGCGAACTAGACCGCGCGGCGTCCCTATCCGACACGGCAAAAGCAGAGGATGGGCTCTCCTTTGACGAAGGCTGCTGAAGTTGCTCTCGATTCTGCCCATCTTGTGGTGTCTGTGACCGTTGTACTTCTTTCTGTTTGGCAGGTTCACTGCCTTTAGGATTTTGGTGTCTGTAGTCATCCCGCCGTCTCTTGATGACGTCCCTGGCAAGGATCTCAAGTGCCCGAACTCTCTTGCGTGCCTCGGCATCATCCCCGGCCAGATTCAGTTTCTTGACGTGTACTGATTTTTCCATCCATAGTCTCTTCAACTCTTCCCACTCCTCAGAGTTCACGTCGGACTTGCAGGTAAAATTCGCGTCGCAGAGGACTGTGTACAAAGCAGTGCGAATCTCACGAGACTCTTCTGGGTTGAGCCCCAACACGTTCTTCGCATCGAGTAGTGTCATCTTGGTGTCCATGTTGCGTAGTCGCTTGGTCACATCGGTGCAGATGATGTCTAGTGCAAGTTGTTTCGTCTCGAGCTTCTCCTTTGAAACCCAGAGGACCTCTTGCAGGTGAGGACGTTCGTGGATGAGACGATTCTTCACATATTCCCATTTGTCAGGTCCGGCCAGCGTCTTTTTTACAATTGATTCTTGTTGGCAAATACGTCCGAAGCATTCGCGAGTTTCTGAATAGGTGGTCGAGTCGAGACGCAATACGTCTTTGCAGTCAATCAGAGTCATTTCTGAGGGAAATCGGACCAAGTCGTTCTCATCTGCAAGTTGTTGCCGATTTCGTCTACTCTGTCTCTTGCTGAGCTTGTGAGGTTTAGGTGTCAGAACAAAAGGGGTGGCAGGATTTGCGACGGGTTGGTGAGAGGCTCCCTCTTGGTCAGGCGGTGAACCTCCTTCCTGAGCCTCCGGAAACTCGGGCTCTTCCTCTTCATCGTCAGGTTTCGCTCTGTCTCCGTGACGAACCCTGAGCAGCCATCGATTCCGAGCACGAACCCGCATCAGTTCCCTCGAGTTGATGTCGTAGCCCTCGTCGTCCTTGAGGATCCGCAGCATCTCACCCTGCGGCATGTTCTTCAGCCATAACTCATGGACGCGCTTGACGAGGCGAGGGTCCTTATGCGCAGGCCTCTGCTTCAGCGGAAAATTCCACCGCTTGAACTGAACTTGGAAGGCCCGTTTGCTAAGAAGGTCGTGTAAGTCAAGGTTCCCACATTTAGGGGCGCATCTGGACAAACCTAGGCGTGAACTGGTACACCTTCTTCATGTGCTCCATGATAGACTCGAGCGACTGACGCTCGGTAATGTACATCCGGTAGCACACGTCCCTGTGAGGACCCCATTGATAGACCATGGTTCCATGAGGCTACGATCGCGCCGTCGCGTTGGGTTGCGTCTTTCGTCTTTGGTCGGAAAAGCTTGACTCGAGCTCTGGGGCTAGAGTGGAGAGTTGCGTTGCTGGTCAATCCGCGCATCCGGAGTGCGAGGCGAGCTAGGTAGCAAAGGTGTCAGGTGCATGCTTTGTCATCCAGATCTCGCAGTACAGTCACTTACCCCACAAACACTGTCGTGGGCACTGTGTGCGCGTGGTGGAGCTAAGATCACCTCGTCTTTCATGTGATAATGAGCCATGAGCTTGTTCCGACCAAGAAAATGTATCATCTGGGTCATCTTGTAATCTCACAAAGATACAACGGGTTGAATCTATTTCTAGGTACTCTCAACTGACACCCACAAGGTTCTTACCAGGGTTGCCCGTTGACAATATCCGCATACCTCGGCTCGATCCTGTAAGTCGTCAAAAGGCTAATCGCGAACACGACTCTCGAACGCCATATCAACCCGTTGAACTCTAAACCAACATATACCCTCTACTTCAGCCCTCTTCTTGTGCGGTCAGCAATCACAGGTTGTCCATAGCATCACCAGAAAACACCATGGCATCCTCCCAGTCGTTTCCAGACAGCTACGCTGCCCTCGACCTCCCCACCCTCCAGCTCTTCCACCATCCCGCTTCTTCAACCTCCGTCACTCCCGTCATCGTCATCAAACTTCATCGTCCAGAGGCACGCAATGCATTCACCGACACCATGTGCGCTTCCCTCTCCGAGGCCCTGAACCTCATCTCGGGCGACCCCCGGGTCCGCGCCGTGGTCATCACCTCGTCAGACCCCAAGAACCGCATGTTCTGCGCCGGCATGGACTTTAACGAGGAGCACATCCTCGGCAAAGACGCCAATGACCACCGCGACTCGGGCGGCAAGGTCTCTCTCCCCATGTATCACTGCGCCAAGCCCGTCATTGTCGCCCTCAATGGGTCTGCTGTCGGCGTCGGCATCACCATGACTCTGGGTGCCAACATCCGCATCGCCAGTCGTGACGCTATGGTTGGCTTTGTCTTTGCTCGCCGAGGCTTCAGCATGGAGGGTTGCAGCAGTTTCTTCCTGCCACGTCTCGTTGGCACCAGCCGGGCTCTGCACCTAACAACAACCGGCTCTGTGTATCCTGCCGGTCACAAGCTCCTGGATGGTCTCTTCAGCGAGGTTGTCGCACCCGATGAGGTCCTTCCAACGGCTCTCAAGATTGCCGACGACATTGCAGCCAACGTCAGCAATGTGTCCACCCGAGTCATGAAGGACATGATCTACCGAAGTGTGGGCTCCCCAGAGGAGGCTCATCTACTGGAAAGCAAGATCTTTTGGCACCTATTCACGGGCAAAGACGCCAAGGAAGGGATGCAGAGTTTCTTGGAGAAGAGGAAGCCCAACTTTACCGGGAATATGGAGGATAATGCGCCGACAGCGTGGCCGTGGTGGTCTCCAGTTGACGTTCGAAAGTCAAAGCTGTAATTGGTGGTTCTCGTCACTGAAGGTGATGTCAACTGTATTTTATTTGTCTTGTGATATGTCTAGTTGTTTAGCACCAATACTTGATTCTCAGTCTTCTTTCCGATATCTCACATCCACCAACAACACCAACATCGAGCATCTCAATCCACGTGAGACAAGTCTCAATGACATATCTTTAATTAAAATCTCATGTCTCATCGCCCCATCTCATGCCCTCTCCATAGCCTTCTAGCTTACCCCTTAAGTCACTTTTATTCTTACTGTATTCAGCTTTGTACAGTTTTTGAGGTTGAAAGATATCCAAGGGCGTCGATCTCAGCTAGATACGTGCTCTGGGTGCCCCTTGACAACATTCATTTCAACGTCCACTGAAATCTGGACCCTCTCATTGCGGTGGAGATGATTGCCGTGAGTCATCCCGAATTCGGAGTGCAAGTAGGGTAACAAATACCATCGACCAGTTTCTTAAGTCTATAAACAAATGTTTTCCGCATTCGTCTCTGTAGATAATCCAAGACACGGCTCAGTCAATTGCCAAGCACCCGCAACCATGAGCGCCGACGAGAACCACACCCTTCGAAGCGAGCTCCGCCGACTCAAGGTCCTCGAAGGACCTTTACCAAAGAGCGATTTCAAAACCTTCCCCAACACGCCTCAAGCGGCCTTTGAAGCGTGGATGCAGGAAGCAATTGAAGCCGGTGTCAAGGAACCCCACGCAATGACACTCTCCACAGTCGATGACCAAGGTTGGCCAGATGCCCGAGTCCTCATCTTGAAAAATGTTGATGGACGGGGGTGGCACTTTGCAATCAAGGGCAATAGTCCAAAGGGCAAACAACTTGCAACCAATCCCTATGCTGCTTTGACCTTTTACTGGCCGGAGCAGGGTCGCCAGGTTCGAATCCGTGGAAGAGCGGTTCAGTTACCAGAGGGGGAATGCAGAGAGGATTTCTTAGACCGTCCTTTGCCTTCGAAAATCGCTGCGTTGGGTTCACAGCAGAGCCATGTGCTTGAAAGTGCACAGCAAGTTCAGCAAGCTATGGAATCTGTCCGGCAAGAGTTTCAAGATGGTGATGATTTTGCTCTACCAGACTGGAAGGTTTACGCTGTAGACCCCATTGTTGTCGAGTTCTGGCAAGGGGCCAAAGACCGTCTTCATCAAAGACTGCAGTACAAACATGAATCTGCGGAAGAGCCATGGGTGAAGCAGCTTCTATGGCCATAAGATGGTATCAAGTGACTTTGGAGTTCTTACTCATTGCATTGAGTGTCACCAGGTGCATGGGATGTGTTTGCTACTGTACATCCGAGGGGCACCTAATAATCTAGCAAATCACACACTTTTCAGCCAGGTCCAGGTTCTATCCCTACTCGGTTTCATGCGCCGCTACGGTTCATCTCACGCCGTCTCAGGGTCCTAGAAATCTCATGATCACTTCCCCTTCCCCACAGTCCGTCGTCTCGACCCTTCCCCCCCGCCCTCAGCTCCCAGAGGCTCGGCCGGAGCCGTGCGCCCCACTCTCGCCCGCCGAAACCGACGGGGTCACCAAAACAGCGGGACCCTCGACGTCATGTGGAAATGTCATGTGAAAAGGAACGAGCGAGGGGCGATGCTGAGCCACTTCTTTTGAATGGAGCGGTTTTGCGACGACGGACGGGGTGCAGGAGACTACACGGATGGAGCGGATCACTTATCTCACGAGAGGGAATTACCCAAGAAGAAAGAAGTGGGGATTGGATTGGATGAATTCAAAGAGGCAAAATTCATGCCCATGCATTTGCTTGAATTGATTTGATCCAGGTCTATCCGGAGAGTGCCTAAACCGAGTCCCAAGACATGCCATGCCCTTCACCTAACAGCTTGTCCGCATCCGTAGCCGGTGAGGCTATGCTATACTGTGCCGTTCCATGCCATGTTGAGAATAATGCCTCGGTAAACCGATGATGACCGCACAATACATCAAATGCATCTGAAATCATAGAGCAGAAAGTCCTCAAACGTCATCTCGCAGTGCTCAGATCCATTCGATGCAGCCATGTCTGTGCGAATCGTGAAAAGAAGAAGCAGAAAAAACAAAAACGCGCGGGTAAATCCCCAACTCCATGCCTAAAAAGAAGTGAAAAAAAACAAGATGTGGGAAAAAAGGTAACTTCGGTCCGGCCGTGGGACCTGAATGTTTCACATCGCTGCAATGCTTTGAGGCCGTAAATCCGTATACGTGAGCAGGGAGGTGGTGAGTGTTGCGTCTCCCGCCAAGTGAGGTTGATCAAGGTATCGTGGAGTGAGGTGAGGTAGTGGTGCTGTGCCGCGTAGGCTCCAGCGTTCGCCGTGGGGGTCAGTGAGTAGACTCAAGAGCGAGGGGTATATGTGGTCGGAAAGTAAATGTTGCGGAACAATGGGTTGGGATGCTGATGGGGGTTCACATCGGCGTCCTTGTTGGAGAATCGGGTCTTGATCTCGCTGGTAAGCTTCTTCTATCGTCGGCCCAGCTTAAGCAGTCGCGTTCTCAGCCACAGAACAAAGGCGGTCCAGGCGCCTGTAGTTTTCCGCTTGGCGGTGTTGTTGCGACGAGAAGACTCAAAGTGCACATCGTCAGTTCTAGCACGGGGCGTCTGAGCGGTGGTGACAGTATCGTAGCCTCGGCTGGCAAAGTCAACCTTTTCATTCTCAGTGCTGAGGCCTAGACCCAAGCCAGTTCCAGTGTTCTTGCGAGACATGCTAGGTCGAATATCGGTGCTGGAGGCTCGGTCGCAGGAGATGCGCGAGGCTCCAAAGCTGCCCTTGCGGCCGTGCTTGTTGAATCGGTGGGCCTCTCTGCTCTCGGCACGTTCCTGCTTGCGGATCTGCTCGCGGGCGTACTTCTCCTCCTTGGCTTTTTCCTTCTCCTCAAACTTGCGGCGTGCTTCGCGGACGTGCTCTTGGCGCGTGGCAGTGTCAACCTCGCTTCGCGAGCGGAGACGGAAACCACCCATATCGAGAGAGCTACGTAGAGGTGACATTGCAGAAGAAGAGGTAGAGGCGGCGATCATCTGTGGGGAGATGAAGGACCCTGCAGGCGGGGTTGCGCTCGATGCAGAATCGAGGGCACTAGTAGATCCGGTGTTGAGGTGGAGGTCGGAGCGACTGCGGGTGACGATGTTGTGGGGTTTTCGCGATGAGATGCCTGGTGTTGAACGGCCGTTGGTAGTGACGCGCAGCGGCTGGTTGATGTCGGAGAGGGAGCTGGTGCGCTGGCTGGCGAGAGAAGGTCTTCGCGGGCGGGAACCTGAATGCGGCAGAGGATATGAACGGCCCGAAGATTGCAGATTCTGGGGCTCGATGTCGTCGTCGTCCTCTGTAATGGTGGGAGAGTAATCGCGAGGGCCGTTGGGATTCTCGAGAGAAGCGAGCGAGTTGGCGTAGGAGAGAGGCGGCGTTGATGTGCGCGGCGTTTGTTGGAAAGGGTGCACAAAGGATCCGTTGCGACCGCCGCTAGTAGAAGTAGCAATGGAAGCGTGAGAAGTGCCGCTCGTTGAACGAGCATGCGAATATTTGTTTGAACGAGCCCCGCCACTGCTGAGGTCAGTGGCAGAGAGGGAGAAGCTAACATCGCGGGCGGACCGAGTGACAGGTGTTGTCAGTGTCGAGGCTCCTGCCGTATAAGAGCCGTGAGAGTCTTCGTCACCGCCGCTGGTGGTATAAGACGAGTACCCAAACTGACCCTGCTCATCCCATCCGCGGTTAAGGTCGAGCGAGTTCTTTTCCGAGTGCGAGTAGGAGTGGCCAGAGTGCAGCTTCTTGAGGATGGGCTTGACTGCCTGTCGGCTGCGAGCCTTTGTTATTTTTGCGTGTTGATGTCCATGGCCAGTGTGGAAGTGACCGGGCAAAGGGGGACTGGTCTGCGCCATTGCCAAAGCAGGAGAGCCTGAGAGAGGAGATGAATTGCAGGAGACTCAAGAGGACAAAGCAGGACCAGAAGAGGATGCGAGGTGTGTTTTTTTCCCGAGTGGTTGTGGTCTTGACGTATTCTTCTTCTCTTTCCGTCGTTGCACGGATACGGGCGCAGCGCAGCGCACCTAGCGGTTGGTGGAGGAGTCGTCGCACGCGCAGTCCCTTCTCAGAGCATCATGGATGGCTTTTTGTCTTGTAGTTGCACAGGCGGCAATGGCAAGAAGACGGTCAAAAGCGCGCAGAGGCACGGTTTGAACGACCAGCGTAAACAAGGCCCCTGGCGGAGAATGAAATACGAGAGAGGGAAGACCAAGACCGGGACGGAGGAAATGTCGCAAACTGAAGAAAGAGGAGCTGCCGGAGCGAGCGCAGCGCTATCAGGGGTGTCCGAGAGGAGCCGAGAGTGGATAAAAAGGAGGAGGAGTCGGGGGCCACGGCGTCGGGCAGCGTCCAGAGTATTTCACGAAAAAGAAGTTGGAGAAGCCTCAAGGTTTGACAAGGGAGAGGGGGAAAGACTTTCAAAAAAGAAGAGAGGCGAGAACAAGGAGGAAGAAGAGGAAGAGCTGAGATGGAGGTGGGTGAGACGCTATCTTTGTGGCCGTGCCGAGAAGCCTTTCCCCGGAGGAGGCGGCAGATTACGACGGCGACTGCGGCGGAGCGGTGATGGGATGGGGGATGGGTTGGGTTACCCAGGACGAACCTCGAGTGTCTCCAAAATGGCGGTGCGGCCGGAGGAGACACACAAGACGAAAAACACCGTCACTATGGTCTCAACCTCAGCTCGACTCGACTAAACTCACTCACTAAGCCAACCCGACGGGACTTGAACTGGGTTTCGGTGGCGGCGACGCAGCCAGACCCAGAACCAGAACCTACAGCAGCGGCAGTACTACTCCACGGGCCAATGTCGAGTTCTGTTCTAGGCCAGATTCAGCCTCATCCCAGGCCATGGACACGTGGGGTTTGGTGGAGAGAGTTTACGGGCCAAGATTGAGCTCTTTTTTTACCAGGCCTTTGTCAAGACCAGGCCAAGGCAGGGATGATAGGGTCTTGTCGGTCTGGTCGCCCGCGCGGGCCGTCACGTCTTTCTAGCGGTGGGCGTTGTTTGATAATGGATATGTATGTCTCTCAAAGGCGGTGGGAGAGATATTAGACACACTAGTAGACGGACGGGGGAACGAGCCGGATCGTCTAGGAGAGATTGGAGAAACTAGGTGAGGAAAACTAGAGACGGGGTCTCAGATAATGAAAAGGGCAAGGGGAACGATATGTGAGATTGCATGTATTTGTGGGGATAAACCCTGAAAGGCGAGATGCAAGAGTCCGTATCGGTGCTGCAATGGGCTTGCACCGCTGTAACAAAGAAAGCACAGGCACATGAGTCAAGTAAAAAACGAGACACTAATACAACAGACAGATTTACTTAGCCTTCTCTAAACATAATTAATAAATTATAATAAAAATATATAAAAATCTTCTAATTATTATATAATTTTATAATAATTTTTTATAAATTAATTACTTATATTTATAAAGAGTTAGGTAAATCTCTTTATACTCTCGCGTCTCATTTATTTCTTTGCCCGCGTGACAGGAAGATGCTGTGTATATATGAACAGCAGTAAAGGATTTCCTTTAAAAAGTCAATCATGTCAGTCTATTACTCCGTCCATTTGAAAAAGGGGATCCCAACTGAAAAGGGGAAATAGACGAGAATCCCCTCAGATGATCAATTAACGAGCCTTGTCAAACAATGACGACTTGATGGACCTAAAAGACGGTCGAATTGGTGAGTAATAATTCCCTTGTCACCAAGCGAGGCCACGACCATGGTTGGCCAAGACAACAAAAGAAATGACTTTTTTTTTTACATGGTCAAGCGATTGGTTCATCCCCGAAGCCCTTGTCAAATTCACTCTCATTCATGGATATTGATCTCCCAAGGTTGGTCGCACCAGAAGCTGTCAAATCGTCAACAAAACACATGAGACACTTTCTCAACACCAAAAAGAAAACTAGTCGGGTCGGAAACCTCTCACTCCGCGCCCGCCACTGCTTCATCGGCCCGTCTCGAATAAAAAGGTGGTGTTTGGTTCCTTCGTCCGCAAACAGTTTAACCCTCTCTCCGTCCTCGGTCAGTCGCCGTTGTGCGCTGTAGATCTTGTCGCAGATATATTGCATCCCATCCACATGGATCCGTCATTGTCTCATCGACTCTGATCCGTCGTTTCTGATAATACCATCATATCATCATCGTCAACAACATGATGGCTCTCTGCTTCATCCCCATCCCATCACCTAGCAACCGTCTCTGTTTGCGGGGTTTGGCCTCTGCTGTGGTCGCATCCAGACAAGGGCCTCCTCCCGCCATGGCCATACACCTCGGTCGCGCCCCAATCACTGGGCAGCCTCTCACGAACCCTCTCTTCCCTCTGGAATAAATGCCCACCAAGTTTCCCCTCGACAAGAGAGGCATTATCTTGCCATCTCTCGCCTCCTCACTCGCGTTCCTCCTCTTGGCCTCGACCCTGCCTCGGCCTGCTCTCGGCCCCTTGTCCCTTGGCACTAGTCGCCGATCATCCGTTCTGGGCCCAGCTTGAACTCTCAGCCAACAGCTGTCGTGGTCTGGCTGGTCTTCATCACTGTCGAGGCTCAGCAGTTATCAGTCATCCATCCCGTCATCTGTCACCACCTCGTCCACTGCCCATGGTCACTCAGCCTTGAACATCGTCACAGTCCATTTCCCTGCTCAGCACGAACTTTCTGCATCCTAGGCCGAGGCTTCTCTTCCAAACTCGTCGCTCGTGTCATCGCGTGCCTGTCATTATTGTCAATGTCTGTGTGCTCCCGCCATGTGCCACTCAAACTGCCTCAGGGACCGACCAGCTCAAACCTGCGCCACGCTATCCATCGTCATCGGTGTCAGGAACACGTCTGAGCGTCTCGAAGATGCCTCGAGACATTCCTTTCCCCAGACTGAGCCAAGCTCAGCTTGCCAGAATCCCTGCAACCCCTCGTGACTCTCCCCTCGCCGACAGAACCCACAACGTCACGAGCGTTGAGTGTGGTGGACTTGACGCTGTCAGCGTTGACTCTTCTCCTCTTCCTCCACCTTGATCATCTCTGATCTCCTCTGTATTATCTAGTTATCCTCTCACACGGTTGACACTCTCTGTCCCACGCAAGCCTCAGAGGGGCTCCCACTTCACCGGCGTCTCCTCAACCTGCGCCACGCCACCTACGAGCGCTGCTGGCCCCTCTTCGCCCCTCTTGAGACCCTCAGCCCCTCCGCCCCGACTCGCAACGCAACTCCTCTCTTACCTACTCAAGTGAGTGGAATCGGCCGACGTGAGGATGAGTTATGACGACGAGCATGACGAGTTGCTTGGCCTCGCGTCATCACACCATTCTGTCATTCTCTCTCCAGTCCACTTCGGCTCTGAATATTGTTCCCTCCAAGAGACCATATGCCTCAACTTCCAATTGCCTAGCCATATCATCATTGGTCAATTGACTCGCTTGAAGCTGATGTGCCCAGACGTCTATGCCTGTTAGCTCCAGCGTCATAACCATGTTACTTGCCCCATTCACCTCATCCCATTGCGGTATCCCGGGCGGGGACCTTTATCTCCATCTTGAAGTCTCAGATGGATCCTTGGAAACCCACATAGGTAGGTAAGTAGACAAGAAGTATCTCAACCGGTCAGGCCCTTCGTCTCCACCCACAAGAGGGTCCATCTCTTAGCCGGAAGCCAAGACTCATGGGGTGTCGAAACTCACCTTCAGATGACCATTCGAGTGTCGGTAGTTCCAGCGGTACTCTTCAATTTCGGTGTCTCTCTTCTGCCCAGGGACTCCAAGCACCGCAACATTTCCAAAGTGGCCATCTCAGGTGTCTGTAGAAGAGATACTTAGTACGGACTTGGTATCGGCTCTTCGTATGGTGTTCCATTTCGTTGGCAGTGAGCCGCTTGTCGTGTGGAGGAAGCGTTACAAACCCCCGGCCCGTGCTACATCCATCAAGCACACCGAGATTCGATTCAATCTTTGTGTGAGTGCTCCACAGTCTGGCCAGTCATTTTATCTCAAGGGTTCTCGTCTCTCCTTGACAAGAAATCTGTACCCACGACTCGATCGACCTGGTCCGGAGATCCCCAGATTAGACGCGGCCTGGCCCGTCCCTTCCCTTAGCCCAAGCCTCCCCCAAACCACTCACCGCCATCCCGTCAACATCGAATTCTCCGATTCCCGGTGATGCCTGTATAATCCGCGTCTTGAAAAGCTGACATGTCGAGATTCAGTCGCCACTCATCTGTCATCTAGGTCTAGGTGGCTACCTTGTCGTGCTTAAAGATGGGCCACAAACTAATGTATGCAACCTAGCTCCAAGGCCGGGATAGCAACTCCCAACCCATAGAAACGGACCAGCTCCGGATGTGATAGATGACCCATTATCCAACCCGGCACCTGTTCGCCATGGTTCTATGCCGGTTAATTGTTACCATGTCAATTGAACTCGGCTCTGTTGGTTACACGGCGCATTTGTATCCTCCTTTTTGGTGTTGTTGTCCCTCCCACTTCCAACCTGTAAAGACATCTCGAGAGTAGCATACAGGGATGGCACCGGATTGCATTCTGGTGAGATTCTTGTCTTAAGCCTCTAGCGAGGCCCTCACGCTGATCTAGCTCTCTCGTCGGCATCTCAAGAATGCTCCCTTGCTCACTTCAAGAGCCAATGTCTGGGTCGGCCACAGGGGCTGGTAGGGCGATGTCCGCTGCTTGATGTCAGCTGAAATTGGGTTTAAAAGGATTACATTGTAATATAAACCTTATCATCGGAGATCTACCGAACCTGGGCAGTTGTAGAAACACGACAGTATGCAACTTGGGGTTCTCTCCTCCACTCAAGAGCCAGGGGCCCCATGCTTGGAGTGTTCAGGTCAAGTCATGTGAGCTTAAGAGGCTCAAATACTGGCTTCTATCACAAGGA